TCACCTTGGCCTTCCAAAATGCTGGAATTATTGTAGGCTGAACCATCAAGCAAATGTTTTGCCTACCTGGAAAGCTAGGCACTATGGTGTTTTAAAAGTTTTAAAAAGGAAAAGCATGACGAGGCTTTGGGACAAGTCAAAACATTCACTGCTCTGGAAATATTAAGGACTGAAGAATAGGAACAAGGTCAGAATATATGAGAAAATGTTTTTCAAGGGTATATAGAGCAAAATATTTACATGGAAAGACATCAGGTAAGTCAATAAAAGATCACTGAGTGTCCCACACTGTGCAGTGCATTGGAGGAACACCTCAGAACTGGGTACAACTCTCATCAAGACATCCATCTAAATCTTCAACCTTAGTCATCACGTATACTGATCCCTCATCCTTATCTTTGGATTGTGTATCTTCCTTTTCTTTAAGTATCGAGAAAGCATTTTGATATCTGGATATGTCCAAAAATACCCTCGGGACATATATTAAACTATGGACACTATAACTCATTCTTCCATCATCCAGGAATGCTAGCCAGGCTCCACTAGCTGTGCAGCCCATGAGAAAAGGGAACCTACTTTACTCCAGAGGCATCCCTGGCAGGCTTTCATCTCTCAAACAAGGCCATCAGGCAGAAGCAAGATGTTAGGAGCTTGAAGAGAGGCCAGGGAGCTGCTGTCAAAAGGCATAAGCATTTGATAAACAATTCTGAAGGGGCAAGTTAAAAGGAATTGGGCTTACAAGCCTGAATAACAGCTGCTAAGGAACTTGGTTGGGTAAGTTTTGTCCTGGGTGGTGAGGATGCAGATGTCATAGCACATGGCTCCATGGAAATCACAGCTTCAGAGGTGAAGCACTGTGTGTTGATTTATAAAGAGGTTTGGGTTTGTCAGACTTTGAGGCGTATGTCCAAAGAAAAAATGAACTTTCTTTACCTCCCTTCCCCAGGTCAAGGATGAACAGAGATAATACATCTCAAATGATAAACGAGACTTAAGGAGAATTTGAGTTTCCAGTTCATCACCTGGGTCACTGTTAGCTTTGTGATTTATTGATCCAACATGGGAATCTACCATGTAAACACTGTGCTCTGATCAGGCCCAGTGGCTCATGCCTGTTAATCCAGCACTTTTTTGGGGAGGCTGAGGGGGGAGGATTGTTTGAGCCCAGGAATTCAAGACTAACGTGGGCAATATAGCAAGATCTCATTTCTACAGAGAATCAAAAAATTAACTGGGCTTGGTGGCTCAGTTACTTGGGAGACTGAGAAGGAAAGATGGGCTGAAACCAGGAGGTGGAGGCTGCAGTGAGCCATAATTGTGCGACTGCACTCTGGTCTGGGTGACAGAATAAGACTTCCACTGGAAAAAGAAAGTGCTCATGAATGAGTGTATGTGTGAGTATGAGATTATGTGTGGATGTGGCTGTGGCTTTCGCCTTCTTCCTTCCTAGGAAGATGAATTCAAACACATCTTGGGAACATTTTTCCAAGCTGAATCATACTACTCTTTGGAGACATGTCATAGCGGCTCCATTCTTGAAGGAAATCATGGTTTGATATGGCCTGTACATAAGTTACTGTTTCATCACCTGCTGCAGCACAACTCGAGATGGTTCTGTCTCCAATGGGTTCACTGATGATGCTGGCCAATCTCAGTCAGACTTGGAGGAATCACATGAACATCACACACTGTCTCTAAAAGCACTCACATCTTCTGAACATATGGCTTTCTACTTTATGATAGAGGGAAAAAGGAGAGAGTGACATGTGCTCCAAGTTTAAACACAACTTTTATGCGTTTAACTTATTTTAACTAAGAAAACAATTAACCTTCTAGTGGCAGGCAAAGAAATTCTGTCTGATTTCCAAAGTTTGGTATTATGGTAAATGCCAAAACACATGACTACATCACAGTGAAATTCCAAGGATGTGTTTCTCATTGTCTCATGTCTAGTCCATTTACTCTGGAGTGAAATAAGAAAAAGTACAATCTGATTTTTCATTCCTCTGAGTGTCAGAGAATGAAATGTGTTGTGGAGTAAATTCTAAGTGCTTCTTTCTCGAACTTTCCATTTTCTGTTATGATAATTTGAAGTTCAAGTCAGTTGAAATTATACATTCCTATAGATCTTGAGTCTGCTGTAGTTATCTGAATCTAAAACAAACTGCAAAGCCAAGTAAATATTACCCACACCTTTGTTTATACACAAATTCCAGTGGTGGGCACTCACTACTGGCCCCAGGTGCCAGGGTAAGGGTCAGTCACTTAGGGCCACCACAGTGCAAATCTGCTGGAATAATGTCTAGCATTGCCTAACTCCGCGTGCAACACTTCTCAAAGAGCTCCAATCATGACATGAAGTGGTAAGTGACAACAAGGAGCAAGAAAACTGAACAGAGATAGGATGGGGGCAATAAGCTATAAATTAACATAACTCCTTCTATTTGTGGGGTAGTGTCCCCATAAGGTGACTAAAATGGCACACCCTTCCTAAAGCCAGATTGTGCAATAGACAAGTAGTGCTGAAAGTGTTTTAGGGGTTAGTGACTACTTTTATTTGTTTTAAATAGATCACATGACCTTCCAATTATTTCCTAATGAAAAGTTTATTACCCTGTTGAGAATTTGGGTTTTAATAATTACTAGGAATTTTAGTGTTGGAAACACTGCTTCAAGTGACCGGAGTGATTGTTTGATCATGGTATGTGTTCCATATTTTAGTAGGCATATGAATATTCATTCTTAGTTCAAGCAAGCTTAAATATTTGTCACCATTGCCTTGCATTAGTAAACATAGGGCAATGTCTTCTTGGTTGTAAAACTTAAAGAGATATCTCAGTCAAGACTATGGTTGAGGGTATAGGAATTAGGTGAGAAAGGAAACTTCAACAAGCATTCATTGACTTTAGATGATTGTTAGGTCATAGGCATGCAGAGCAAGATTCATCTGAGCCATGCTTACCCCTTTATCTCCACAGTATAGGAATGTTTGTATACTACAACTTGCAATGTATAGCCTTGCAATGTATAGCCCTGACAGTCTATCTATGATTAGGCTGCATGTCAGAATTTCTGTCAGCAGGTAAGGAAACTAATAGCATAAAAGCAGTGTCAGGGGCTTTCCATGTTCTACTACTTTGAAGAATGAAGAACATTTCATCATGTGATCTAAGATTTGATAATTCAAAGGCATACAGAATCCACCTTGTCCTATCCGAAAGTTTACCCCAGGTACCTGCTTTCATTAAGAAAGAGTCGAAGGAGCTTTGAACCAACAGCTATAAAGATAATCCAGAAAAAAAGCAAAACAAAGCAAAAAATACCAAACCTCTCTGAGATATTGAGAGTAATATACCAGCAAGGATTACATACTTGAAAAATTGATTGCATTAATGTAATTCTATGCCAGTTAGTTAAAGTTCCCTTATTTCTGTATTCAACTTTTTAAAACATTCAATACTGTAATAAATACAATATTTTGAGAATAGCTTTAATCAGCTAAGATGGCAGTTTACTTTACAGAGGCTGCTTTATTTATTCGGTGTCTTACTGTTTCCACTTCTTTTATATCCAAAAAGTGTTTGAGCTGGCTACATTTAGTTAAAAAGGCATTTAACATTTTAAATTAAGACACAAGAAATTCCAAATGGCACTTGAAATGCCCTTGAGAGAAACCTCTCATTTCTTGTGTTTGTAGATAACTCATATATTCATAAATCAAGTCCTTTGCATACTTAAGCCAGACAAAAATACTAAGAAGCACAATGTCTTTCATTAGAAAAAATGCAATTATTCTGCTTAGCTATGTTTTTTAAAAGCCTGACATTTTAAAAATTGATGAATATGTAATTTGCTAATTAGTAATGGGCAGTTCCCTTGGAGGTATCATCAGAAGCTTTACAATTTACTATTTCAGAAGAGTTTCATGAATGCAAAGATTAAAGCTGAGAAGCAGAGAGAAACCACTCCAAGCTGACATCATCCTATTTAACACCCATAATACTTAAGAGTAGTAACAATTAAGCCTCACAAGTTAAGCCAATGTATTGAATTCCTATTGGGTGAACTATAGACAAGACATTTATGTGCAATGATTTTTCCACATATTAAATTCCCCATCCACAACCATGCATCCAAATGAACATCAGAGCAACATATTATACTGTAAAAGATTAAATAATATTTCAGCTTATACATTTATTTCTTGTCTCTTTTCTCCAAATGATAATAGAGATCTCAGTTACCATGCATGAACACTTACATTCCCTTTCTGAGAACATTTCTGATATTGTTGGTATAAGAGAGGAAAGTCATTTATTTAAAGGTTACCTTATTAAGCTAAAGTTTTGTTAAATACCTAGATAATATAGTCAGTCAATTTGTCTCCATGGCCTAAGAAAGAAGAAAGACTAGCTGCCATATTCAATCCCAATGAGTTGGCATATGAATATTTATAAGGACATCAATATTCACAGTGACTTACAATCATGCTCCAAGCTAAATAAAAATAAGAGCAAAACTGCCACAAATATTACAGTATAATAAGAGCTATTAGATATGTACAAATCCATTGACAGAATCTGTGCAAGTGTTGTGGACAAAACATTTAAAAAGAAATCTACAGAAAACAAAGTCGATAAATTTATCAAAGGTTGATAAATTTTCAGAGACAGTATAAAAGTACACAAAACATGAAAGAGAGAAAGAATCTTTAAAAATAACCACTAAGCAAATACATATAGTACAAACTTACCACATTTATATTACAGAATGATGGAAACCAGAGACAAAAAACGATTTGGTAACAAACAGCAAAGAAAGTTTCACCACCAGTCACAAGGAAGAAAGACATTCTTTTTCGGATGAAAACACAGACTTGCAGAACTCAACCCCCTCTCCCACCCATACACACATAGAAAAATAAAAGCAAATGCAAAAATTGTCTACAGCAACAGGACAGACAGAGGTGGGAAGCATTTGGCATGTTGCATCACAGGAAGTCAATCACGATTGGCTAACGATGATGGTACCTGGCTCTGTTGCGGGTCACTGGTTTGCCTGAGAGGAGTAACTGATGGAGGAGGCACACCTGATGTCGATGCAGACCGGCCTAATTTGCAGCTGACTTTAGGTTCTGGAAACAAAGGCAGAAAGATGAAATATTAGCTGAGCGACATCTGCAATGATGAGATGACTTTTAGTCTCCCTATATGTTCTGTTCCTTGTTCTTGAAACACAAAATGCTTCTGGTGTTTGCTAATTATTGGCAGATGATTAAACACTTTTATATCAATGGACTCTAAAAGGAATTTGATTCGGAGATCAACTCCTAGGGTATAAAAAAATAAATCGTGGAAGTAATGGCCTTGTTCTCTTGCACATTTTATCCCATTTGGAGCTCGTGTCTATGGTGTCATTGCTAGAAAAACAACTCCCTATCAGAGGAAAAAGTAAGTAACAGGACTGTTTTGGTGCTTCGTTTTCAGCTTTGGTTTACAGGACTTCTATGTCCTAAGTTGTGTTATCCACCCTCTCCTAATTACTTTTTTGGCTTCCTTCCTTCCATGGTTACTATCATATTTTCACTGTAACATTTCAACTTATCTCAGTCTGCTTTAAATTTTATAACTATTTTCTGGGACCTTTGCAAGCTTTCGTATATTATTTTTCAAATTGACAAAGCATTCTGCTACCTCTTCCTCTATTTGAGGATTCCAAATTAGCTTACTAGGCCATTGACAGGACACTTTAGAGTTTATAAACTTTACAGCTTATAATTTGGGGACTGAAAGAGTTTCCTTCATCCAAGAAACATAGAATGTATGAGATGTAGAGAACATAGATTTTAAAGATACATTTGAAGATGCTTGATAAAAGAGAAACAAAGAAAAATTGACATTTGGACTTTTATCCCCAACTTTTATGTTAGCTATTAGTTTTTGAGTGTTAGGTACATTCTAGCTTCTGTTAGGGGCTAAAATTAAATTTTCTCTAATCTTTATGATTCCCTTTAGAGCTGTGGAGTTAGCTATAAATGCCCTCAACTTACGAATTAGATACCTAAGGCTCAGTAAGGTTGATATTTGCATAGCAGAAAAAATTTCTTTTTTTGGAAAGCCTTTCTTTGTAAACTTGACTTAGAAATTAAACTTATCAAGCAAGTAGCTTCAAATGATATTACAAGGCTAAAGTACTGAGAAATGGCACACTAGTGCCAGAGAACCAGAATGGGTCCAATGCTGTTGGAAGAAGAGAAAATGTATTGCTCACTGCGGACGGGACAGTTGCGCTATCCTTATGCTATCTCTATATGAATCACACTTTAGAGAAAAGCACTATGTCTGCCTTGCATGAGTGTTTCACTGGCAATTCTGCTTCTATCCATTATCTTCTACTCAGCGCCTCGCCACCCTTCTCAGATAGAGACACACAGAATGAGCTAAGCTTACGTCCTTTCACATATAAATCCACATACACACATACTCACCTATATACACTTTACCTCATTCACCCCATTTCCACCCATTAAACAATGTCTCACCTCTTTATTAAAATTATTATCTTAATGCAAACTAATAGTGTCTTGGAAAATCAGATAGTCTTTTCTCTGTGCATCTGATTTAGTGGGGGGGAAGACAATAAACAAGTTTTGGACTTAGAGTTGATTTTGACTCTGACTCCATTAGTTGTAAAAGCTTAGGCATTTATTTTTATTTATTTGCTTTAGTTCTTTCAAATAAAATGAATAAAATTCTTATTTAACATTTAACATCTGTACTCTGACAAGCTCCTACTGTGTGCCAGGGACTTGCCAGAGAGTAGTGACCAAAATTTCATTTTTTCTCTAAGGGAGATCACAGTCTATCCAATAGTACAGACATTAAACAACAAATGATGCCACTGATTATGTAACTGCAGGTGTGGTGAGCACTCTTGGTGGAATTATAGGGTGGAAGAAGAGTATTTCTTATTGGAGGAACCGCAGACCTTGGAGGGACATCACTGACTACTTTGTAAATGATAAAACGTGAGGAGTTCATTTATTCTTTGTTCCTTCAGCAAACATCAAGGACCTACTACATGCAAAGGACTACACTAAGAGCCAAGGACATAAGGGTGATAAGGATACCAGTTATCTGTATTCTAATGAAGTTTATGTTTTCTCAGGGAAGAGACATTAAACCTAAACTCATATGATGGAAGTTGGGGAAAGTGTTAGAAAGAAATGCAGAGTGCCATGGTATCATTTATCAAGAGTATCCACTGTGTTCTGTGGAGCTGGGGAATAAAGGAACCTATGGAAGGGGACAAATCTGAAGTGGAGAGCATCCCAGATCCACAGATTTATTTTCCAACTTACCCTGAAGTCAAAAGCATTTCAGAATTTATTCCTTTCATTCATTGTATTGAGTGTATATTGTAAGGAAATGGTAATGAGTGAAATATCTTGGTATCCAGGAGAGTTGGGAAGAGTTGAATGAGTGGTAGGTAAAAAGATGAAACAAAATTATACATAAAGTTCAGAGAAAAACACCAGGCATATAACAAGTGCTTTTGACGAATATTGGCTCTCACCCCTCTTACACACATGTATACACACATACACGTTTGCATGCATGGTGATCATTACTTCTATTCTCTTTCTACATTTAATAGGTTGACCATATTATCTTTCTGGAAAATGTCTCCCTTTCCTTCTGTGACACACATGGCTTCACCTCTCTCCTCCTGGTTTCCTTTTTGCTTTATCACTTTGTCTTTTTGCTTTGCCTTTTCTCTCTGCACTTTCTCCCTTAGAACATCACTGTTCTCATGGCTTCAGATATCATCTTTTCCCTTTGAGTCACATGCAGGTTCCTATAGCTATGCTCTCTCTTCATTCTCTCGTTTGAGTTTGAGTTTCTTGCTTCCTGGACACAATGAAACCAAATTATGGCATCTTCTCAATATCTCAGATTCCCTTTCTAATGTAACTATTTATAAGCAGGAATATCATCTGTTTTCCTAGAGGTTAAGGTTCCAAAGATTGTACTTTTCAAGTCAGAGCTTTCTTTTCCTCTCTTCATAAAGTTAATACTATTGGCAAGTTGCTTTCTTTTTTGATGGCGCCTGTACTTATCTCAATTCATATCTAAGAAACCTCTTTGCTGGACCCTATAATCTCTTCGCTCAAATCTAACTGGTACACAATGGCAGATTGTGTTTCCTAGATTACTTTTAGGTTACTTACTCTGTTTAAGCATTTCCAATTATTCCATACTTAATATCATTTTTAAAAGTGTAAACCCATTTGCCCAATTTCCAGAAATCCCCTGTGATCTGGTCCCACCTGAACAACTTTACCCTATTTTTCACTGTTCCCTGCTTCTCAAAACATATATTACTCAGTTTTCCCTCTTGGTATCCATATTTGATTCTGCTTTTATCCTTCACCTCAAGTTGTTGTCATGCATGCATGGACTTTTATCAAATCAAATCCTACCCATTTTCTACGACCTAAGTCAAGGTGTTCCTTTATTTAAAGCATCCTGCGATCTTGTTTTCCTCTTTCTCTTTTCTGAGCTGCCTTGTCATTTACATAATGTTTGTACTGCTTGCTGTGGTTTTGAGAATTTTTGCTGGTTGCAACCACAAAGTAAGCATTCAGTTATATATATATATAGTTTTTTTTTTTCACTAAAGATACTCACGTTAACCTCGAAAAGGTCACTGCAACGTCTCAAAGCAAATAGAGGAAATGAGGAAATGAAGTAACAGAATATGTCTTGAGACCTGGTTTCAAGGCCTGGCTCCTCTGTTTACTAAGGTGGTGATTCCCATTCCAGGGGATTTGACTCTCTGGGGTCCTTCAGAGGAGGCGTAGAGTTTGAAAACTCTCCCTTCATTTTGTGCAGGTGATTCTAAAATCTACCTACCCATTCTTGAAAATGTCACTGAATTCTCTTTGAGGTTGTTCAAATATGTGTATCATACAGTGATATAGACAAAATTACATTGTAACTTATAAATTAACCTCATTTCCTAGGATGCATGCATCCTTGCATATCTTAAGGAAGGAATTGTCTTTTATTACATAAAAGAATAAGTGTAGCATCCATCAGAAATCTGGTTAACATATTTTCATAATGAGCCAATGCTTCCATACAGTCCATTACTATTTAGCACATTTAGTCAGATGCAATAAAAAAAACTCAGTAATTTTTTTCCTAGAAAAGATGGCAAATAATATTTACTTACCTTAGGGCTCTTTTCAAATTTATGATGAAGATACTATCTGATGAAAAGAGATTATCGGACTAAATCAATGTACCTAAGGATTAGTTTCCCCTGCATAGGTTTCCAGATCAGACCTGCCTCAATCAGCCTATTTCAAATGTAGACACTGCTATCTGCAGTGCACAGACTAAACCTCACCAAAATCTAAGCAAACTCTATTTCATTATGACTTAGAAAGACCTTGCTTTACTCCCATAAGATGCCAGTCCAGATCATGTCTAAGTTCATAAAGACCCCTTAGGCACTGTAGTATAAACTATTAACTACTCATTGAACATGGCAACGTAACTAGCCAAGCGCCCTGTGGGTTCACTCTTGAGTTAGGTCACCCAGTGGTCCAGTGTCTCATAAAGGTTCTGGCTCCACCTTCTGCAGTAGCAGAATGTGGTTATTACTATAAGTGTATTATGTTCACATAAATACACACACACACACACACACACACACACACACACACACACACTGCAAAACACTGCTGCTTAAGGTATGGACATTTTTAACATGTTGAGATTTTTGTTTATCTTGTTTGTTTTGGCCCATCTTTCAGTTTCACATGATTTGTAACTTAAAATGCATTTGAAATTTACTACGGTGCTTGTGAGACCGAGTTGATGAAGCAAATACTTATGAGGTTGTGTCTACCAAGGTTTCTTTGACCAAAATAATTGTCTGAAGCAGTCCTAAAAATCCCACAGAAGATACCAATTATAACCAAGCCTCTTAGTGTTCTCCAGGCCTGTGACATCAAAGTGAAGTTGTCCAGCTTTCTTCACCTTGTAAATGCAGCACTCTCTGAGACTTAAAGGTTTTGGAGCTATGACACTATAAGTTTAGTACTGGAAACAATGTTTTCACCCT